ATTGCGGTGCTGGAGGAGTCTCTTGAGAATCCCCTGGACTGCAAAGAGAACAAACCTGTCCATTCTGAAGGAAATCAACGCTGAGTGCTCCCTGGAAGGACGATCCTGAAGCTGAGGCTGCAATACGTTGGCCATTTCATGAGAAGAGAAGACAACCTGGAAAAGACCCTGATGTTGTGAAAGTGTGAAGGCAGGAGGAGAAGGGGACGACCGAGGATGAGATGGTTGGACAGTGTCATCAAAGCTACGAACATGAATCTGACCAAACTCCGGGAGGCAGTGGAAGACCAGAGGGCCATGGGGTCACGAAGAGTCGGACAAAACTAAACAACTAAACAGCAACAATATTAAGGCAAGATGCAGCACAGGTAGTTAGAGGCTACGTATAATGCAAAGTCTGGCTGAATAATATCAGTTAGACTTCTTATAGAATCTGTCAACACAGTCATCATTAAATTCCATTCAGTTTCAACTCTGAATGCTGAAGAGACGAAATGGAAAGCTTTTATGCAGGTCTCAAGGAAGAAATAGGTCATGCACAGGAACAAGATGTGCTGATGTTCATAAGTAGTTAGAATGGAAAACAAGAAACAAAATATTTGTGTAGAATTTCATATAGGAGTCAGAAATGAAAGAGAATTTTGTGATGCCCATGATCACTTTATTGCATATGATTCAGGCAGCCAAACAGAGAATTGCATGCATGAACATGTAGTACTTAACGTGAATTATTAATATGAAAGATTAGAGTAAAACTGGAGAATGCTAAAAGAATCTTAGTGCCAATAAATATTTTAAATAATGTTTTGATGAATGTAAGGAATAGATTTGCATTACTAAACTCAGTTGAATGTGAATCCGAATGATTGTGGAAAGAATGGAAAAAGTCAATTCCTTTACTGAGAAGAAAAAATGCATAAAATAGCTAAGGAGAGATGAGAAGTAGAAGTGTAAGCTGACAATAGGGTCAAGGTCACAAATGCAAATTCTCAACGACATGTGTCTGAAGAGAAGAGAATTGCTACAGTAATCAGCTCAAAAATCTAGAAGAGCAAAAAAGGAAAAGCAAGAAGTTTGTTCCATAAGAAAAAAAGTGAAATTTAAACAAAAATAAGACATACTGAAAGATCAGTAGAGGAACAAATTATCTGACCAGGCCAAAATAATGAGAAGATGGAAACAATTGGAAATAATACTGTATACAGAACCATGTAGAAAAGATTCAAGGATGACAGATTCCTTTGATGAAGAATCCTGTGATAAGGAACTTGCAGTTTTAGAAAGCAAAGTGAAAGTCACTGTCAAAGCACTTGGAAGGAATACAAATACAAGCAGGCGTAGTCAAGGTGCAGACACTGATCAGAATCTGAACAAAAGTATTTCAACGAATATGAAAAGCACAATAAAGGCCCACAGGCTTGAAACATTGAATATATATTCCAGTCCCCAAGAAAGGTGACAGCCTTGAGTTTGAAAGAGCAGAGGTGGGATATTAACCACAGGACCCTTTGAAGGTTACTAAAGGCTCAGTCAGATAGATATTTGTCCCACTGTTTGGTGGACTGCAGTGGGCAGGTTGGTTCGCCTTCCCCCCGCCCCAGCAATCAGGACCTGATCACTAGAGTGAACCAATCCATCCCCAGAGTGCCCTTACCTGCACCTTTTTGAGACCCTTTCAGGGGCTTCTAGTTTTTTAGGTGCTGATAAGTGTGCTCTAGTTTGGTCTGTTTCCAACACATGTAATCTCTGAGACCAGCCAAAAATTGAGCCTTGCCAAGACTCCTTCTGCTGTCAGTTTCTAGTATCATTTTTGCTAGTATAAATTCTCAGCATGAAAATCCCACTTCACCAGAGGAAACAAACATGCAAACAAAACATCTGGAATGTATGACCCTGATCAGACAATAGGAGAGAATAATAATAATAATAATAATAATAATAAATTCTCTCTGCTAAACCATAGCTGATGCTCTGAATCACATTAATTTTTTTTAATTATTTGCCATTGTGTAAAGTGCTGATTGAAACTGCAGATGCAGGCAGTATCCCTACTGGCATTAAACACAAGGCAAAGAATTTTTTAAAAAATTGAATCTAAGTGATCCAGCACATTAATGATGGTCTAGCAGAGGCAAATAATAATAACAATAATTTCATGTCCCCTGCCCCTCCACAGAGGAGCAGGGGAGGTGTTCAATTTGTTGATGTCTTGAAGTGGCTTGTTTATTAAATCACTTCATGGTACTGGAAATTGACAGTACAGGGGTCCAGAATAAACAGGGTCACTTGAGGTCAGTATGCCATTTGGTTATGAGGATCATACTAAATGGTATATCACTCCTATCCTGATCTCTGGTAACCCTGTTTAAACTGCCCCAGCCCACTCCAAAAGGGGCAGTGTGGTTGCAGCTTTAGCCAAAGGGTCTCCATAGGTTGGAGGTGTCTGGGTAATACATAACAACAACAGTAACAAAAGTTTTGGAGCTGAGAGCAGGCTCTCTTTGGCTGTATCTGTCTGCTCTGATGATACTGGAAGATTATTCGGTTCTCTAACACTTGCTGCCATTTAGTCAGTATAGGAATGTAACAATCTCAAAAAGGCATAGCCATGTTGCAGTAGACAAGTACAATGAATCTTGTGATGCTAACCCATTTATTATGGTACAAGATTATTAATAATGATGCTAACCCATTTATTATGGTACAAGTTAATATGATTTGTTCTGTCTTGGCCTTCAGATACCAGTTCATTCAAATTACCTTATACAGTATTCATACTTTATGATACACACATACATACACATATGCATGTGTGCAGATACCAGTTCATTCAAATTACCTTATATTCATACTTTATTATACACGCATACATACACATATGCATGCGTGCTTTTAGTTAGAATTCATTGGATTCAAATTAGGATACCAGTCTGACAAGTGAAAGTTTAGTAGTTTTATTGTTTTGCATACAAATAGTTGGGAAACAAAAACATAACCAAGTGTCTTTCATTTCTATACTGTAGCTCTAGTTACTGTTGAATCAGACAAACATGAGCAAGAGTTTAAGACACAATGTTTCACTTGACTGTTTATGCCAGGCATTTTAAGAGATGGTCCTAGAGTGAAGAATAGGTTTGGAGAGTTGAATTAGTAATAGACAGGGGAAACCAAGAATAGACAAAGGAAGGCAGAATATAAACATCTTTTTGTTTGCTCCTTAGATCTTTTAGAAATTATGAAATGTCAGTGTTTTTTTGTACTTTTTCTGGTGCTCTTGGATGATTACAGTTAAAAATAATGCTTAGGCACTGAGGATTTCCCCCGTAATTTATAATATCTTGATGTTTAGGAAAAGTTTTCATCTGTTGAAGAAAAATTCTAAATTGTTAAGAGAGCTGAAAAATCTGGACTCAAGGCAATGGTGAGTAAAACTTTGCAACTGTAGCAGAGTTAATGCCGATAAATAACATTTACAGAAGATGGTGCCATTTATTATTTATGCTGCTGAAAAATCAAAAACCAGAATCTTATCTGTGTTCTTCCAAAGTTTCCATAACTTATTCTAAATGACTAATTGCTGTTGGGATATTAGCAATCTTGCATGCATCAGCAATGGATACCAGTGGGAGGGGTATTTACAGCCTTACGTGATTATCCTTTAAATTGATTAGTAAAGTTCTCTTCTCACCTCTGGCATTTGAGGCAAGCCTTGTCCCCTTTTCCTGTTTGTTTGCTTGCTTCTATTGTCTTTGTTGTTGTTGTTTCTTCTTTCTCTGACCTCTAACCAAGCAACAACCATGTGGTTTTACTTCTTTTTTTCTTTCAGATCATAACTGCAAATAGTTACTTACAGTTTTTCTACATTTTTCTTTGTTAAATATTTCTAGTGTATTTTTTATCATGCAAAGCGCTAGTTTGTGTGCCAAAGCAACTGAAACAAGGGTGGGGAGGAACAGATGAGACTGAGCTGATATTTTCATGTTGGTTTTTCTACTTCATACTCTGCCAACTAAGAGAAATGACCAAAAATTCTCAATATTTTCAAGGTGCTAGGGCACACCTGAGTTGTGCAGTTAGGCTTATGATTAAGAATCCGACCAATCATGCCTCAGCAACTTATCAGTTAGCCACAGTCAGCTGTGACAAATGATGCAAACCATACAAAAACATCAATATAATTCTGGCCATTATGTTTTTAAAACTTAATTACACTGCTTTGTTCTGGGTGTCCAGGAAATCTTGATGGTGGTTTTTTTCTAATTGATTTTCTAGCACAGACTAACACTGCTAACTCTTCTAAAACCTTTAAAACTAAATGTACCTTTCATTAACATCCCAGACAGTCAAACATCAGTCTCTCTAATATATCATTGCGAACGTACTGTAGTCTTAAAGATAAAAATAAAGAACAATGTTACATAATGAAATTGCACTTGACATTCTGCTGCTCTGTGGGTTTTCATTGACCAAGCTGTAAAAAGCAAAGCAAAGTGTGCTGCTTATATACCACCCCAATAGCACTTCAAGCGCTCTCTGGGTGGTTTATAAGTTAATTATGCAGGCTACACATTGCCCCCCCCCCAGCAAGCTGGGTACTCATTTTACCAGCCTCAGAAGGATAGAAGGCTGAGTCAACCCTGAGCCACCTACCTGGGATTGAACCAGAGTGGCCTTGGCTGCCAGATGGGCGGTATATAAATCAAATAAATAAACCCCTGGTCATGAGCACAGTTTCGGCTGCAATACAGTAGTTTAATCACTGCAGCACAAGACTATTAGTTAATTTTGTGGCTCTGGTTAATCAGGTGTTGTATCTTTTTCAGCCAAATTTTCCTGTGATGTTTTGTCAGTCAAAGTTCATTTGTCATCTCATTTGCCATTGACTGACAACCATTGTTTCAGATTAAGTGTATTGTTTTAATAATGGCTTATGTCAGGTACTGATAGCCAGCCTTTTTGTCTTGACCTGTATTATAATGACTGGTGAATCTTTTCTTTTGTTTCCTGAAATATTTTGTTCTGCCATTATCATTGTTTTATTTTCTTATTTGCTTTCAACAATAATGTTTCAAACAAAAAAGAGGCATTTCAGTGAGACATGACATTTTATTATCATGGCTCAACCTACCATAGATAGTCTTAGTACTGACCTTTTTTTAAATTTCATCTTCAAGCAATTTATTATGGAAAAGTAGTTTTTGGTTAGCAGTTGATGGGTTTGCTTGGCTATTATTATGCCTAGATATTTAAAGACAGAGAAGCAGAAGGTAGAGTTTATTGTTTGATAGAGTTTGTGTTGTTGTTTTAGAGTACAGTATTATTAAGGCACAGCAATTTGAATTCATGAGAGTTATTGTGGAAAGCAGTACAGTGGTGCCTCGCATAACGAGCGCCTCGTATAGCGACGAATCCGCATAGTGATCCCTTTTCCAGGATCGCTAATGCGGAGGCATCGCTTCGGCCCCAATGGGCGAAACTCGCATAGCGAAGATCGGTAAGCATTTCGCTTACCGATCTTCGCTTTGCGACGCCGCGGATCAGCTGTTCGGCGGTTCCAAAATGGCCACCGGAAGCTCCGAAATGGCCGCGAATAACGTATTCGCGCCCTCCCCTCGCTTACCGAGGGTGCGAAAATGGCTGCCAGACCCAGGAAACTTTGCTAAACTGTGAGTTTTCAGCCGATTTGGAACGCACTAAATGATGTTTAATGCATTCCAGTGGCTTTTTACTTTCCGTTTAACGAAGTTTTCACATAGCGAAGGTTAATCCGGAACGGATTAACCTCGCTATGCGAGGCACCACTGTATATTGTTTAGAATAATCCTATACCTTTTTACCTTGTGAACAATGTAATTGCCTCTGATAGAAAAAGCAAGGTATTCCTATTAATAGGAATTCTAGCACTGTTACAAAAACTGTCAGTGATAATGGGCATCTTTGAGTTGTGCCTCTTTCTATCTGAAATACAGGTGACACAATAACATTAGTCCTCATAATAATCTTCAATCTATTGTATATAGCAGGGAAATGATTTTTTTTGCATATCCTTGTTTTCTTAATAGGCTGGATAGATAATGCCATTCGATTCTGTCAAAAACCTTACACGTAACTAATTATAATTAAACTGGGTTAATAGATGGTGTTTAGTGGCCATCTAATTTAATCTGCTAATTGTTGAGCCTGGCGCCAGTTCCACCTCGTCAAAAAGAACTTTCAAAGCCATCTTCAAAGTCGAGCTCAACTCCCACCTCCAGAGTTCCGACCCGTTCTGACAAGTCATCTAAAAATAAGGATAAAGTCAAGACAAAAAAAACAAAGAAAATGACAAAATCCACTCAAATTTAATCATCTCAACCAGTGATTCCATCACTCATTCTAGAAGAATCATCTCGAGAGGCCCCTGTTTCAACTTCAGACAGGAATGATCCTACTCTGACACCGGCCCAGGCTTTAGCTTCTATTGCTAGTCTGTTGCCCAGTACAGGCCTATCGCCAGCTGATGTGCAATCCAGCTTGGCCTCAGCCCATTCAAGCCCTTGTTCATCAAGGCAGGCGATACCTGTTCAGCCTTTGGAATCAGAGTCGTCCCATCATTGCTCTGGGAGGAAAGACAACATGTCTCTCCGATCCAATATGCTCCTTCACATAGAGACATATATTATTACCCTGAACTGCTTCAGTACCACACCAGAAGTGACTTTAGAGACAGGCATCATCATTATGATCCTTATTATGCAGAAGCATTTGCCGAACAGGCTTATTATGACGAGCCCAGGAGAGTTTGACATGCCTCCCCATCATGGTATTCACCGTCCGTGTCACCATCACCACCACAACATCGACACCGATCAGTTTCCACTTACTCAGTATCGACCCATCAATCTTCAATGCTGACAAAATCTGTACTCAAAAGGCCTCTCCAGTTACCAGAAGTTCAGGTTCTAGCAAAACGTACAAAACAGTAAAAACACCATACCTCCTTCCATGTTGCTACAACTTACAGGGGCCCTCCTCCTCCACCCTCTGATATAGAACAACAATTGGTACCGGCTTATGCAACTCACAATCACTACCACCGACGTCGACCATGAGATCACACCGATACCTTCTCGATCATCCACATTGTCTCAAGATTCGGCATCCACCTTATCTAATGAATTGCCATCCAACCTTCACACCTGTCACGTTCCATGTTCCCAGGGGTTACAACAGCAGCGTCCGATAAACCAGTCCTATGTCAGGAATTCAGGGAATCCAAACACCAAAGCCAACTCACACAGGGTCCAGGGTCAGAGTCCAAAGCCAAAATGCACAACATAGTCCAGGGTCAGAGTCCAAAGCCAAGGGTCCTGGGACCAAGGTTCAAGGTTGTCAGGAGCGTGGATGCAAGCCAGAGATTTGACTTGTTGCTTCCATGGATTTTCAGCTGTCTCAGAGCTGTTTATATAATAAAAACAACCCTTGAACTGTTGGAAGCCTTTTCATCCTGTCAGAACTCAGGGCTAGTTGATTGGATGTTTCTGCGGGCAGCCTTCAAGCGATCCTCTGACCTTTTTGTCATAAGTCTTCCCCGAAGCCTGGCCCGAAGCCTGTCTACTGGGGGAGGAGATTCTGGAAGCGATTCAGGTGTTTGTATTTCTGATTGCTCAGCATTCTCCTCAGCTACAGTTAACCCTTTGGGTTCCAGATCTTCAGCTGCACTCATGACAACACCCCTCCATTGGACGTCAGAGAAAATCATCCTCCATCACCAACAGAGGACGTCACATCTTATTCTCAGCTGATCCTCTAAATGGCTAAATCCTTATAGTTCGACATTGAGGGGCCACCTCCTCATATGTTTTTGATGACTTGAATCAGGACCAAACACCACTACTTAGCCTCAGTTTTATTCCTGCTATGTTTGAACTGATTAAGGAATCATGGGATAAACCTCCTTCCTCACTCCAAATCTCACACCATGTTGAAAACCATTATAAAACTCGTGGAACAGATACAGGCTTTCTTTCGAAACACCCAATGCCAAACTCCATCATAGTTGAATCTACCAAGTCTAGAGCGCACAATAAATCATCTGTCATGCCTACCAACAGCGAAGGCTGTAAAATTGACATTCTTGGCAGAAGACTATGTTAACTCACCTCTTTCATCATGAAGGTAGCTAATTATCAGGCTGTCATGGGCGCTTACCATCGCTATGGGACAAAATCTTGCTCATTATCCAATCAGCTTCAGAGGCTACCAGAACAGAAGCACTCAGTATAAACATTGAGGATTCTGCCTTGGCCAAACAATAAAGAATAGCTGCACATTGCACAGCAGAGGCAGCATCTAAAGCAATGTCCACTTCGATTGCCCTCAGACATCATGCCTGGTTACGGTCTGCAAACATCTTAGATAATACCAAGACATGGATAGAAGACCTCCCTTTTTGATGCCACCGGCCTCTTCAATGCTAAAACCGATGAACTCATGGAAAACCTCCATAAAATCCACAAGACAGCACATTCTTACACTCCTCAGCAACCTTACCGTCATCAGTGACCTCAAACCCACAAACAACTATTCTACCAACAACAATTCCAACCATATCAACAGCCATAATGATCATTCCAACCTCAAGCTCAGGAGAGTTCTTACACAACACCATCTACATCTGCATTCCTGTCCTTTCGGCCCCAGCAACCACAGAACCGAAGACAGTCCTTTCAATGTCAACAGAAAAAGGGTAGGCAATACCCACAGATCTTTTTCATCTCCATTCCAAACCAGACTCTATCCTTTCATCTCTGCCTGGAAAAAAATCACTAATGACAATTGGGTTCTCTCCATTATCCAAAATGGCTATTTCATTGAATTTTACCATACCCCACCCTTTGGAATCATTCAGACTACTCCATATTCATTAGCCCTCTATGAAGAAGTCTCCCTCCTTTTACAAAAGCAAGCCATATTCATAGTCCCTTCCTCTTCATTGCATGAAGGATTCTATTCCAGATACTTTACAGTTCCCAAAAAGGATGGAAGACTTCATCCCATTCTCAATCTCAGGAGCCTCAACAAGTTTATTCAACCCTGACGCTTTCGAATGCTAATTCTCGAAACTGTCATCCTCCTCCTTTCACAGGGAGACTGGTTTGTCGTTATTGACCTGCAAGATGCTTACTTCCATGTTTCTATCCATCTACTCCATCACAAATTTCTCCAATTCAGATTCAACAATGTATCATACCAATTCTGCTCCCTTTCCTTCGGACTTTCCACAGCACCAAATGTATGGCACCAGTCGCAGCTTACCTACACCTCCAAGGCATCACCATTTTCCTATATATAGACGACTGGTTAATAGTCGCTTCTTCTTACCACAATGCAATCAGACCTACAGACTTAACCCTCGACACTCTTCAAAGTGTGGGTCTCAAAGTGAACACTGCCAAGTCTCACTTGGAACCCTCGCAGACTGCCACCTGCATCGGTACATACTTCGACTCTCTCTGAGCCAGAGCCTTCCCTACCGCAAGAGAGGATCACCAAATTAAAACAAGCTATCCAGCCATTCCAACCCTTAGCGTCGGCATCGGCGCACCAAACTCAGCATCTCCTTGGGTTCATGGCATCTACTACTGCCATTGTTCAACACACTCAACTCAAAATGAGAGTTGGTTCCTGTCACTATTTGACTCCATGACAGATCAACAGTCCAAACGTCTCACAGTAACACCAGAACTGGCCAGTCAACTTACCTGGTGGACATTCCTCCCTCATTTGATAGTAGGTAGACCCTTCCAACCTCTGCAGCTATCCATACAAGTCACTGCCAGGCCATTGGGATGGGGAGCCCACTGTCGACATCACAGAATACACAGTCTGTGGATGAAACAAAAACAAAACCATCTGGAACTTTTGGCAGTCATCAAAGCCTTTCATGCCTTCCTACCACTCATTGCAGGACAAGCAGTACAGATAGCTACAGACAACACCACAGTGCTGTACTATGTCAACAAATAAGGAGGTACCCCCTACCACTTCTGTATCTTGCATTAGAACTGTAGGAATGGTGCTACCTCCACCACATTTTCCCATTGGCCATCCATGTCTCAATAGACAACAACTGTCTCGCAGATCACCTGAGTCATCTTACCACAGGGACACACAAGTGGGCACTGAACGATGAAGTCTTCGATCTCCTCTGCCACTGTTGGGGACTTCCGGCCATCAATCTCTTTGCCTCAGAGACCAACACCAAATGCAACCGGTATTGTTCTCAAGCTGGCATCAACCCAGAATCACTCAGTGATGTGTTTATATGGACTAGACTGGAGAACTACTCTGTCTGTTCCCACCAGTCCCTTTCATTCAAAGATCAGTCATTCGACTACGACAATCCCAAGTCAATGCCATCCTCATCGCTCCATGGTGGCCACATCAACCGTGATTCACCCATCTGAGATCGATGTCCACCAACGAATTCCATCTGCCATCGATCCCCAACCTTCTCACACAGAGCAACAGGATGATCCTTCACCCTGACATCCACCCTCTGAACCTGACAGCCTGGAGAATATTCCCACCATTCGAAGTGTCCTAGATCAGGCTCGAAAGCCATCTACCCAAAAGCTATATCAAAATAAATGGAAATCCTTCATCAGTATTATTGTTCAGAGTAGTATTGTTGTTCAGAGTTTTGGGGGAAGGTTAACCAGTAGAATTCCTTTCTTTTTCCCTCTGTTTCTCCGTTTTATTGGGTAGCTGTCATGGAACTTCTCTTGCTAGGTGCCATTTTTGTTCAGAATATTCCAAGTGAAGAATTGTTTCTGAATATTCCAATTAAAAAATTACACTGCCACTTTTCCTTAGAATGCTCCAGGATCATGCTGTGTTTAGGGCATTGGACTTGGGGGTGGCAACCACAGATAGGATTTCCACCAGTGGTAGAGATAAGCTTACCCTCACCTGAAAAATGATTCAGCTGTTCTCCTGTTTCACAGCCCACAAATGAGACAGTGGAATGGGAGTATTTTGGCTTGACTTTACATTCTTAAGATTAGGGTATATATACACTACCACCATCAAAAAAATTATGTTTGTTTTCATTTTGTTTTTCAATTGCAGCCGTGAAACTCACAAAATAGCAGTATTTTACATTGCTGAAGGACAAGAAGATAAGTGTTCAATATTGTCCAATATAAAAGGAAGCCAAGCATATGAAGACTTTGTTGCTGGACTAGGCTGGGAGGTAAATATTAGATTTAATATTAATTTTGAATTACAGTGGTGCCTTGCATAGCGATCACTCCGTTGAGCGATGAAATCGCTTAGCGACAGAGTTTTTGCGATTGCAAAAGCAATCGCTTTGCGATGGTCCCTATGGTTGGGTTTTTTGTTTTTGTTTTTTTTTTTTTTTTGCTTTGCGATGATCGCGGAGAAGCAATCATGGCAAAGCGACCCTTTTTTAACAGCTAATCGGCGGTTTCAAAATGGCAGCTGGGAAAACAAAATGGCCGCCTGCTGTTTCCTCGCTTAAGAGGCAGCGAAAATGGTGGCGCTATGGAGGATGAGGTTTTAAGCCCATAGGAACGCATTGATCACGTTTTAATGCGTTTCTATGGGCTTTTTAATTTCGCTTAGCGATGTTTTCACTTAGCAACGTTTTTTCTGGAATGGATTAACATTGCTAAGCAAGGCACCACTGTACATTTTTTGCCCCATGTCCAGAATCCTATTGTGCCACACCATATGCTCAATGGTCCATTGCATACAGTGGGGGTTTTTCTGTGTTTGCGCAAAGAAGTGTATAGTACACAACTGTACCCAGTAAGAATATGAAAATTTGCAATTATTTACCACCCCAACAGGTGTTCAGTGGTTCAGCACCCCATCCCCTTCCAGCAGGCAGCCAATCAGAGGCAGCATCCTAGCTTCCATGCCCCACTTCTCCAAAAGCTCACATTAAAATACTTCAGTTAGACTCTAAGGTACCACAACATTTGTGTCTTTATTTTTTTCTTTTCTTTTGTTTTTGCCTGACATGTATTAATAAAATGCAATTAAAATTGGAACACTCTGAACTCTTTTTAAATGCTAGTATTTTTAAATACTTTTTAAGAAACCTTACTTGGTTTTAACTGCTAATTTTTTTTGTTTTTATTTTTTTACCAGACATGCTAGCAACAGGCTCACATGACTTCCTCTTTAATAATTCAGTGGCTGAAATTGTGTTGCTTAATGAAAAACAAATTTTGGTCCATTCTATCCTGGTAAATAAAGTACCCTGACCACCATTGTCATGGGTGCATATATGTGCTGGCTTGGTGGACATGTGCTTGTGCCCTGAGAATTGCAGTGGGGACACTTTATTCACCAGGGAGAAACTGACTAAAAGTTACAATTTAGCTTACACTAAGCAGCAAGATTTTGGCCAATTAATTTAATTGTCTTTTAATGGCCAAATTTCTGTGCCATAAGCTTACACTTTGAAGGACAGTGGTTCCCAACCTTGGACCCTCAGATATTCTTGAACTAAAACTCCCAGAGGCCTTCACCACTAGCTGTGCTGGCCAGGATTTATGGAGGTTGTCCAAGAACATTTGGGAACCACTAGTGTAGGACAAAAGACATTACCCTCAATGACACAAGCCAAAATCCAAGTAGTGGATTTCATTAATGGCTGCTAATTAGTTCCTGCTACAACCCCTTATTGTGTACAAGTATGGTCAATTTGCTCAGAATTCCAGATTGAGAATGATGTATTTACTTTTACTTATTTCAGGTTGATCTTTCAACTCATTGTGGATTTATGGGTGGTCTTCAGCGTAATGGCAGCACAGGTCAAACAGCGCCTTACTATGCTACCTCTACTGTGGAAGTAATTTTCCATGTGTCCACCCGCATGCCCTCTGATTCAGATGATTCACTAACCAAAAAGGTACAAATATAACTAAAGTTTAACCAAATGATGAATATTGTCCTCTTGAAATATCAAACATCATTTTGCATCATTCTGTGCAAAACATGAGTCACACACATTTTATTATGAGGCACACTCTCCCTTGGGTGTGCATGAATGCAAGAGACAAGCACTTCACCTACAGTTCACAAAAGACTGCCCACCTGAAGAGTTACATTTAGGCCAAGTTACAAAGCCTGAAATGTTGTCAGATAGATAGGGAAATGGAAAAATAAAGTGAGGAGATAGAAAAGAATGGAGGGATTCGGAAAAGAAAGAACATACAGAGACGTTAAACAGTTAAGGAGTACTCTTAACTGGATATGTTTAGAATGGGAAAAAATATTTAAATAATTCTCACTTCCATCACAGAGAACCATCTGTGGTAAATCCAGTATTTTAATATAGCGGGACTATGCAGCAGTGTGTCTCCCAGCACCAAAAGAGAGCAGTGAATGAGAATTCAGTTCTTATTTAATGAGAAATGTATGACAAGTAGTTTGGTGATGGGAATTCTAAAGAAAATATAATTCATTGTCCCCATACTCTTAAGGGCTATGACATGGGGAAGTGGCTTAAGACAATTCAACATAGCAATTTGTATTGAATACTGCAGGCCAGGCTGGGTTATCAGTGTTGTCCACTGGGCTGAAATTCATGTGATGTAGCTTACAGCCAGAGATAGGAAATGTTGCTCTTTTGAATGACAGCTCCCCAAATACTGAAGCTAGTACAGCCCCTGGTTGTAACAACCCTGAAGTTGTTTCCCCTGCCCCTCCCTGAAGATGGGTCTGAGAGTGCACTACAAGTACTCTGTACTGTAATTCACTGATGTAACCCTGTTGCAGGTTGGAGAGCTATGTTAAGAGAATATTGCTTACAATAGTTCACTTTTAATGCTGCACGACAGGAGTGGCATTGAAAATGGTCCTAGCAAAAATATATTTCAACTTTATGAATTAATCATCTTTAAAAGGTCCTGTAACTAACTGCCCTCCTCAGTTCTTACAAACAAAATGCTTCATTTTGTGTTGGTGCATCTCATGTTTCATCTTCCTCTTTTTGTACTGTCTTTCATTTTTCCTGCCATTACTGTCTTTTCTGATGTATCCTGACTTTTCCGTGATACCTGCAAAGTATGATAACCTCAGTTTGCTCACTTTTACTTCTGATGAGAAGTGGGGTTTGGTTTAATCAAGAACAAACAAATTTTTCTTTCTTGTGATATGTAATACCTGTAAAATTCTCCTCCCTCCCAACATTTTGATTGAAACTGTTTTTTTCCTATCAGCTTTTTTCATTGTCCAGCTTTCACAGCCATTCATGGGAATTGAGAATACCATAGTATTCTCAGCTTTGGTCTCTAGTGACTTCATTCATTCATTCATTCATTCATTCATTCATTCATTCATTCATTCATTCATTCATTCTAA